GGTTAATCGTTACATTATCAGTCAGCACTAGCTGAATGTGTTTTTGTCAGGGGATGTAGGGCATTGACTGTAATTGATACGGCTTCCCTGGCAGCGTGATAACAAGCGAGGGCTTCCAGTATTCCTTCCAGGGTCCCAGGTTTCGCATTCATTATCGATGTGCGAGGGAGTAGTGTGGAGTTCGGATAAATATTTAAACCATCATCTGCATATTACTACGAACAATGCTTCAAAAATACGTCGTGTAGGCCTGCATATTCAATATTTCCAATGATTGCAAATTGCAATGTACACCCCTGTATGTGAAGTAGCCTTTTTGTACTTGCACATTTTTATAAGATTTTTAATATTCCTCTTTCTCTTTTCTTGACTGTTTGTGTTCCAGGTTTCTCTTCCTTCAATGTTGTGTAAAATGTAATTTGCAAGACAAGTTCTTTTTAGCCCTTTCCTAAATTCTCATTTTCTCTTTCCCCCTCTCTTCCACATCATCTCCTTCTCATTCTCTCTCTCTCTCTCTTCTTCATCATCTCCTTCTCATTCTCTGTCTCTCTCTCTCTCTCATTCTTTTCTTCATATTATAAAACTTCTCTCATCGCTTCATTTCATCATCTCTTTTCTCCTTCCTTGTTCTCTATCATCCACTGTCCTTCCATCTTGTCTTCATCTCTTCTCTCTTATTCGCTCACTCATCTTGATGTTGTTCCTCTATTCTTCTCTGGTCTCTTTGCGCTTCTGCTTCACGCTTCCTCCTCCATGCCCGCGCACCTCTCCACCCAGACTCGAGATTCTTTTTAGGCCGGTCCTCATCAGACCAAAGTTGCAAAATAACCCACCATTTTCAGACTTGGGACATTTTCCAGAAGCTCGAAATTGGCTCATCACATCCTACTTGTAGCTCGGTCGGGCGCAAATTAGCCCACTATTTCCTAAATAGCAGGCTATTTTGAAAACAAGACCAAGATTTCTTGGTGTATTTTCTTGACCAAATAGCCAGCTAATTGCTACTGCGGGCTGATGAAAACGCAAATTAGCTGCTAATATGATATCGGGCTAGTTATTATAGCAGGTTATTTTGCAACTTTGGTCTGATAAAGACAGGCCTTTTGAGTAGGGTATATTATGATGGAGTGCATTCTCTAGGATGAGAGGAGAATCTCAAAAGGTTTTCATAATAACATTCAGAGAATGTCCTCCGATGAATTGAGTCATCACTGCACATATCCCCTAGCTATCAAAAATTGTTCTCTTCTTTCTCTTCTCCTCTGTCTGTCACTTTCATTTTGTCATGCATTCACACCTCTCTGACCAGACCTGGATATTATTCCAAGTAGAGTATATAATGATGGAGTGCATTCTCTAAGATGAGAGGAGAATCTCGAAAGGTTTTCACGTGACCATTCAGAGAATGTCTTCCGATGAATTGAGTCATCGCTGCACATACATATTCCCTCTATCAAAAATTGTCTTCTTTCACTCCACAGCTCTTGTCTTTTCTCTTCTGTCTGTCAGTTTCATTTTGTCATGCATTCACACCTCTCTACCCAGACCTGGAGCTTACTGTATTCCAAGTAGTTGAATTCACTACTTCATCATGATGGAGTGCCAACAGTGCATTTGTGTGGTGCGCATTTTCCAACCTTCAGAAATAATGTCACACCTTCTGTAATTACATGTTCTACTGTAGGTTGTCAAGTGAGCAAACAGGTATGCTTGGATTCAGTGATATCTTGCTGAAATCCTTTTATTTGCAAGAAGTTATCAACATTTTTAACTCCATACCTCAAAGATACATGTAAATAGAGATTTACAAGGTGTTAACAGATTTTTGAAGTGTGTAGACCCCCCCCCCCCAACAATAACAACAAATAAATAAATAAATAAATAAATAAACAAATAAATTTAACAAAATAATTTAAAAATAGATAAATAAAAATAAAGCAGTGATTGACACAAATTAAGATATTGAAAACACAACCTATTTTATACAATCACATCAGTACTCAACCGACAATTTCATCACGATTAAAAGAGTGGAAACACAAACCCATCAGAAGTCAACCCAGAACTTCATGTATTTTTGATAGGTGTATCGTATCACACCTCATGAACTTTCATCGCCAGTGAAACGTGATTTTAACACCATTAAAGCATTGTCTCAAACTGCAGACCGTGTATGATGTTCATAAACTATATTGTAGCTCATTTAGATTTAACTGCTATTTTGTTTTGGTATACAAGTTACAACTGTTTATGTACATGCATGTTACTGTAAACATGTACATGTATCAATACATACAGTCAAACCTGTCTTAGTGGCCACCTCTCTATAAAGGCCACCTGTCTATAGGGGTCACGTATTTGTCTCCCGTGAGAAAGAAACATGTGTTAAAGAACCTGTCTAGAAAGGCCACATGTCTACGGTGGCCAGTTTTCCTGTATTGGTAGCCACCTCTCTATAAAGATGACCTGGCTATAGTGGTCACCTATTTTTTCTCCCTCTAGGAAGAAACATTATAGAACCTGTCTATAATGGCCAGTTTTCCTGTATTCCTTGATTGGCCTAAAATACATGTGGACAGGTTTGACTGTACATTACGCTGCACATAATCCATTATACAATGTCCATTACTCGGCCTACATGTGTAGCATATCAAGCGAGATACACCTGCATATTCATCACTTACGAACGAACGAACCAAAACGACCGCAAGGCTATTTTAATAGCAAACCACCAAAACAGAGGCTCAGGTGGGATTTAAGCATAGACAAATTCACAACATGCATTCAATATTCCACTCATCATAAAGGTGCACCTGAATATAGACTGAATATAGAATCGTACAGTGGCTCAGCTGGGATTTAAGAATAGACAAATTCACAACATGCATTCAATATTCCATCATCGTACATGTACACCTGAATATAAAGTGGAGGACACACAAGCATAAAGGTTGACATGAATCGTGTGCATGCATGCCTGGATGTTGAGATGTTTTCCCTTGAATCATGCGAATGGTTCATGCGATAAAGTTTATTTAGAACTGGTCATGCGAAAGAAAACGGTGTGAAATCGATCAGAAAAAGTTGATTTAATATGTAGCATATAAGTATTGGTGTGTTACTTCAAGGTTCTGGAATCATCATAATGAAAAGAAACTTGGCACAGTCTTGGTAAAAGTAACAAGCACTGTACACAGAAAGATGTATATGGGACTACACAAACATGTGGCATAAAAATGAGGCCCACATTTCATACAAATGTACATCACATTCACACACGGTGCATTATATTTTTACATTTATGTAGTTGATGATGAGAAAAAATAATACCGGTACTTGCTTTTACTACCTGAAAGGAAGACCATTTTATTTTTGGTTTCTGGTCCATGACCATGGCAGTGCACCTGTTGTTGAAGTGCACAGCAGGAGCAAATCAAAGTCATATTTCATGCCTGTAATGTATGCCATCCTGCAAAGATTGTTAGCATCTTGAAATTTTCTGGGGAAAAATATGGCATGTACACATTTAAAGCCCCACTGCACTACTTATAGCTACTTGCGCCCTCTATATAGCAAACGGTGCCTGTTGGTCCCCCATGAACCCCATTTTCTTATGTTAATTGAGAGCTGAGTTGATGAGATAGCCACCGGTCAGTGACCTTGCAGGCTAGTCTAATCCCTCCTTTACATGTACACTAGTACTGATGAGCTTTAAATGTAGTCCATGCATTTTCATGCACTTTATTTTAATGCAGTGTAGAAGGGAAAGAAAAAGCAAAACTTCTCAAGGAGCAGTTGTACAAACAGTACTTCTCGTAATTGATTCATAACATACACATACCTGTAACATGCATGTAGCTAATAATCGCTGTATATTTATAGCCAATTGTTGATGGGAACCAGGTTGTCCCTGTGTTAAGTTTATGGGAATGAGATTCAGTATACAATACAAGGTTCATTGTGTTTGTACACATGAGAAGGTCAACAAACTTTATGTTCCTCCTGTATGATACGGATTGTTCTATAGTGCATAAGTGCACAGGTCATTGTCCTAAAGCTTACCACCTCCACTGTGTGGGTTGCTATCCATGATATCTTTTTCTATTCCAGGAAGCTAATAGTGATAAAAGGGATTAAAGGGGATTAAAGGATATTAGCAGACAGGATAAGACTAGAATCATGATTACTGTTAGTGTAATCCATGCATGACTTTTGTAAAGAATGGATATAGAGCTAATATGGCAAAGGACAATGTTCTAAAGAATAATACATCACATTCCTGTGGTATTTCAAATTTTAGTCTAAAGATACATACATGTACATGTACATGTACATGTACATGTAGGCCCGAATTCACAAAGGAGGTTTAAAATTAACCCATGGTTTAAATCTTCATTCACATAACCCATGGTCTAAAATTAGAGCAAAATAAGCAAAATAAATAGTCAGAGGTCCGAGGCTAGAGGACCAACGCAAGGCAAGGTACACTTTTGCACTAATTTTTGAACGAAGAGTTTATATGTAAAGCTACGGTCACAAAGGTTCCTACGAACGATGCATTTGTCCGAATCTCCGTTTTTCCATGGTCTTCCCGAATTTCCATTGTCTTAAAAAGCGTTCGTCCGGCGTTCGTAGCAGTTCGTAATGGCATTTGTGACCGAGGCTTAAATGAGGATTTTACCCATGGGTTAAGTTAAACCTCCTTTGTGAATTCGGGCCATAGAGTTGTGCAAATGTTACTTTTGTTAGGCCCATTATAGGTAGCATTTATTAAATGTATCAATGAATATGACATGCAGGTAAATTGTATAGTACAACTAGTCTAAATTGTAATTTTTTAAAGTTTTTACCATGCCAATAGTAATTGGGTATTGTATTCTTGCATACATGTAAATGTGTACACTGTGGTGATCACTATAAACAATTATTGAAAGTTTGCCCATTTGAAAGGTTTGACTGTATTAATCAAAGTCATGTCTGTTTGTTTTCAATTTACACAGATTTCCTCTTCGTTGGCCATTCTGAAGATGTCACTGGATCAATAACCGATTCCTGTACGACATCAGTGCCTTGGGAACACGCTGCATACGCAATCACGCATTCCAGCTGACTCTTTCTCACCCCCGACTGGCGCGCTGGCGCATACGATGAGCGACTATGAGGGCGCTGGACCTCGCGGAGAACCAGTCCCTGTGTCACCCATGAAGCGGGAGGACTCCATGGCCCTCTCGCAGCTCTCCGAAAACCACGGCCGCTACAACGAGACCACCCTCAGCCGGGAGGGACTCAGCGACCGAGAGACCTCGTACTCCTACGGCGGGTACAGCCCTGCAGCCACACCTACCCACTCTTACAGCACGGCGCGATCGGACGGGCAGTCTCTGGGACGGGATGGCACGACTCCCAGGAAGAAGGGGAAAACGATGTCCCTCAAGGTCCAGATGCTTGACGATTCTGTTCTGACTGTCGATGTCGTGGTAAGTGCATGCATCCAATTTTTCTCTCACTCTTTTCAGCCTTTTTCAATAAGTTCAGCTGCCCGTGTTATTGGACATCTTGCTCTGTGTTTAAAGCTTATCTGTACTACCGGTAGTTTACAGGAGGGATTAGACAGCCCTGCAAGGTCACTGGACAAGTGGTTATCTCATCAACTCGGCTCTCAGTTAACATAGAGAAAAAGAGGATCATGGGGGATCAAAGGTAACCGATTAGGCATCGTTTATAGAGGGCGCAAGTAGCTACAAGTAGTGCAGTTGGCCTTTAATAGCTTGGCAAGATGGAGATACAAAGTCATCAAGCAGTGATGTTGGATTACATTTTACGAAAGAATAAAGCCTGAGATATGTTGGCAAACTTGGCATGCAAAGAAAATTAGATCAATGACCTATCAAGTTACAACATTTGGCAATCTGACAATGGAAATCACAATAGAACTTGTGAAGATGTGTTGAGCTGTTACCTCAGGCATTTGGAAAAGAAGGAAGCAATGGATGGGTATTAATCTCAAGAAGTAATCACAAAGTATTATCAAAAGGCGCGTCTTCATCATTTTGAGATTGCCAAATAGCCCGCTATTTCTGATTTGGCAATCCCGACCAAATATCCTGCTAATTGCAACTTCGGGCTGATGAAGATGCAAATTAGCTGGATAGTTTGCGATCCGGGATAGTTCAAATAGCTGGATATTTGGCAATCTTGAGATAGTGAAGACAGGCCTCATATATACCCACTTGACACACAGAAAGGAAGTCGGCATATTTTTTATAGGCGAGTTCCTTCCTGGCTTCAGGTGTCACAGTTGGGATTGAGTTTCTATTGGGATTTTTCCAAATTGGCTGAGGATCTTCCTCTTAATTTCTCACCAATAGATATGTTTAATAAATCAAACCCATTGCAGGAATTGAGCTACATGTACAGTCAAACCTGTTGTAGTAACCACCTGTCTACAAAGACCACATTTTTGGTTTCCCTTGAAAATGGCTTCTCATTGAAACATGTTCTAAAGGAACCGGTCTACAAAGACCATTTGTTGTGTTTCCCTTGGGCGGTCGCTATAGACAGGTTTGACTGCATATTGTCGATATGGATGATTTGCAACCTTGGGGTTGAAAATTACTTTAACCTCTGTAGTTGGTATTGGGTTCCATTAGGGTCTCCATATCGGCTGAAGATGTTCCTGATTTGTTTTTACCGATCAAGTATTGCCGGGTACTGCCATCCCGCTGCAGGAATTGAGCTTCATGTAGCTACGGATGATTTCCTTCCAGGGAGATCAAAACGACTGTAACTTCTCCCATTTGACATTTTAAGTGGACCACTGTTTCCCTGGAGAAACCTCTTGCCAAGGCATGTTACATTGAGTGTGGTTTACCACTGTGACTGCTGCTCCTGTGTCCATTCAGCTGTTGTGTGGATGATCCTATTTTTAGCTTGAACATTTGCTATAACCCCTTAGATTTTACTGGATGTTGTACATGTAACTGCAGTATGAGAAAAGAGAACGTACTGTATGTCGAACAATTTTTGTGTGAAATGTATGGTACAGGTATGTCTTTAAAATCTTTGGAAAAGAATGTCTGACAAATTCAGAACTGTACAATCTTGTTTTCTTAAAGCTATGTTTATTGGATAACTCTCATTGTAAGAATATCTTCAAACCCAAAATATTCTCTTTCTTTCATATTATATTTAGCACTTCATGGCAATCTTGAGAAATACATGTATTAGCTCGAAGAAAAATATCTTTTGATATTAAAGGATAATGGTTTTATTTAATTATATTAAAAGGCATTGATAATTTGTTTTACAGAATTATATGAAGCTTATCCCCTGTGATGCAAAGTCAAAAAGCTGAAATATGCTGCTGTTTTGAGTGCTGGGTTCGTACAACATCAGTGGCTTTCGAACATTGTTCTGGCAATACATCCTCTGATATGGCAGTGTTCAAGTGTATACCGGTACTTGAAATATTCCTGTACCCCTAAATGCTATCAATCCATTTACCTTGATGCCATTCCCTCGTCTGTTCTTACCCAGCCCACCAATTGTACCGAATATGATTTACAACAACAATTTGGGGGGGCAGTGCTTTGATATCATTAGTGTTAACAAGATATCAGACAACTCAGGGTGAACGTGAAGCGCTCGACCCGCGTTTGGGAATCCCGCGGCAGGCAGGTTGTCGGGGATCTGTTGTGGGCCGCGTAATTGGATTTGTCCACGAGGATGGCGGCAGTTTGCTAGCTTGAGCAGGCCTAGATAAGTTGATGGGGAGACGATGAGGGTGGGTTTGGGATTTAAAGAGGAAGAGGAGAGAGTGATGGAGAGAGAGAGAGAGAGAGAGAGAGAGAGAGAGAGCGAGCGAGAGAGAGAGAGAGAGAGCGAGCTTGAGCAGGCCTCGATAGGTAGATGAGGAGACGATGAGTGTGGAGTTGGGTTTAGAGAGGAAGAGGAGAGGGTGAGAGAGAGAGAGAGAGAGAATGAGAGAGGGAGAGGGTGAGAGAGAGTGTGTGAGTGTGTGTATCAGATTAGATAGAAAGAGAGAGCTTGAGCAGGCCTCGATGGGTAGATGGGGAGACCGATGAGGGTAGATTTGGGATTAGAGAGGAAGAGAGAGTGAGAGGGAGAGACGAGGTGGAGGTAGCGATATGATATTCATTGAGAATGGAAATTCTGAATGGATAGCTCCACAGAAGATCTTAATGTACATTTTGTAGACAGACATTTCATTAGAGCAGAGTTTACCTTTCAAGTGTAGACATAATTAAAATTCGACTCATTGCACAGATAAGAGAGAGAGAGAGAGGGAGAGAGAAAATAAAGAGAATACAAGATGGAAAGTAGCAGGTGAAAAAGATCCACAGTTGCAAATTTAGAGAGAACAGAAAAAAACAAGAGATGGAAAGAAGGTATTAGAGAGATAGGGAGAGAGAGAGAGAGAGAGAGAGGAGGAGGACATGCAGAATGAAGAAGATGGATTGGGAGGAAGGGAGCGGATGCATTTCTCTTCAGTCATCCTTGGGTGATGAAGCGAAGGGGTGAGAGAGCGCGAGAGAGTGGTGTTTCTTTGCCCGTGGCGCGGGAAAGTCATCTACCGCGCACAAATTCAAATTTCCTCTCCCGTTCGTACCACTCACCCTTCATCCATGCCCTCTTCCCAGAATTCATCCTACAGTACATTGAGCATCTCATCACCCGATTTATATAGGATCAGATCCTATGCATACATGTAGTCTCAAGGTGCAGACTCTTAATTTAGAGGCTCGTTGGCTCGATAGTAGAGCAGTGGTTTGCTTACCAGAAGATCCCGGGTTTGAAACCATGTTGATGCACTGGTGCAGTTTGGTGAGACCTTGGTCAATGACCTCATTGCAAAGTCCTTCAGAGAGAACTTCGAGCAGTTGGTCCCCTGGTTATAATTACATTTACATGTACCTACATTGTACAAGGAGACGCATGCTTTCTTATCAGTCCGGTAGAACACCAACTAAACCAATAAACACAATTTCATAAGTCTTGAGCTGAGCCTCTTGGAACCTGTTTCAGGCTGTATTGTCAGGACCACCTACAGAACCTATCAAGCGCAAGACATGTAGAACGTCTACAGCTTGTATAGTCTCACAGTTTATACACTGTTACGCACTACGACTGAAAAGGCCTTGCGCCTGCGAAGTGCAACTATCAGATGCACTTGTCCCACAGATTCCATTCCATTATTAATCGACTCTCTGAACATTAATCTGTGTGTTTTTATCTGTGCATTCTGTGGTGTAGTACACATACATGTACATTGTAGGTCTTGTAGTCAACGATGCCCAAACATATATTTTGCTTGTGCTGTATATCGAGAAGTTGATGTACATTACATGCAAATCAGTGTTCATTTTTGTCCTACACTTGAGTGCCGCTCACTGCATTTTATCCCATTGGTTTGTGAAAAGAGGTTAATGCATGTTTGTTCATATTTCATCCAACCATGAGTGAAGAGTTATTGGCTTGAATTGCAATTCCGTTAATGAAAAAATCTTATAAATATGGCTCGTTAGGGATGGAAAATATATTTTATTCATTGGGTTCAAATTACCCACATCTGGTGATGATCGTGAAGTACATGTAGTTCAGCAAATAGTGTGATCACGGGTAATTCAGGATCTGATAGCTCTTTCAACATAAACTACCATACACTTCTAGTCTCCTGACTTTTGCCACATTCTTTTTTTATAATCGATAAAACCAAAATGGAATTCAATTTAATTTTGAAGCAGTTACTCTGTTTAGATGAGAATCATCACACTATAGAACCTCACTCATTATATAGGTTAAGTAGCATCGGATATCATATGAAGATTGTGTTTCACAAGCAATTGAAACACTACCCGTAATGAGGACAAAGTTAGAATGACAAAATCGGCATCACGCTACTGTGTGGAGTGTACCATGCTTCGGCATGTGTGGGTATTCCTTATTGCTAGGCTCGTGACTAACAATCATAAACGACACAAAATGTAAGTCTGAACCCCTAAATTTCTCGATCCAGATCCCCTTAAAAAGGTTAGTCCCTCTAAAGTTGGTACATTGTAGTTGTGTATTAAAGCTGTAGGTGTGTATTTAAGCACACAACCTACACTGGTATAATATACAGGAATGAACACTATACAAGCAAGCTATTAAAAGTAAACTAAGGTCATTGATACCTGCTGAATTTACACTTTACACACATTCTTTCAGCCCTTAACCTTTGTTCACTTAATGGCTCATTTTCTTCCATTCTTTTAAAACCATTTTCGCATCTTAATGATAAAAGTAAACAAGATTTCTATAAGAATGGTATTTTTAGAGTCCAAAAGTGTTTATTCTGTCACTTGAGCCAGATTTGTAGATTATCTTTGTTGACCTTCCCAAGTTTGTCTTTTCTTCCCTTTGTAGATAATTTGTTTATCGGTTAACAATTTGTAAGGTGATATTAGGTCTTTAACTA